TGGATTTTTGTATATTGATACAAATTTAAGGTTATTTTTGTTATGCTGTATATATGTTTCTATGCTTGTTTAAGGTATTGTATCTATGCAGCTCATTTTAAAATGTAACATAAGTCCTAGTAATTGAAAGCTATTGTTATAGACTGTTTACAATAATTTAAAATGCAGGTTAGTAGTGAGTCATCTATAACAATCAAACATGTAGTCATGTTAGATATGCTTTCAATGTTAAAAATATATATTTTAGATAGATAAGTGGTCTTCAAACATTTCAGAGGCCTACAGAATATGACATTTAAGATATTTTAATAGCATAAGGCTTTTGATGACAGTGAGACATGTCTGCTCCTGGTAGCACCAATCTATTTCAAAAAGGGATGTTGGGCAACATAGAAACTCCATACTGCATTTTCTTTCTTATGACAATGTCAGCCACTGGACAAGAAACTTCTCTTGCCTCTACTGCTGACAGTATGCTGTCCAAACTGGACAAGCAGGACACAAAAGAAGGTGACTATCAAAATTTGCCAAGACAAAGTAGGACAGTTCTTCAAAATTTTTGCTTCACAGGAAAGTCTGTCAGATATTATGGGCCTGTAGGCTGAAGATGGTTGCCCCAGCATTGCAGAGGAACCTTGGGTGACTGTCCAGGAAGCCAACTGTCTCTGTTGTTTCTATAGTTTTGGAAGTTGTTTGCTTTGCACTTCCTGTTTACTCAGGTAATATTATATCCTTCTCAGATCTTTGATTGGGTTGAAGACTAGATAGTTATAGTTAGTTTTCCTTGTTACCAAATTCAGAAAAGAAACTCACAAAAGAGGTATAAAGAATATAATGTTTATCTTAAAAAAATGTTTTGAGGTCTAAAAAGATAGTTTTGGGTTGGTAACACGAGTTAAAATAGAAAAATAAATTAGGTACAAAACTTTAGAGTCATTAAGATAGGATAGACAATAGAGAATTTTCTCCAAAATTGCCAAATACAAATTGACTGGGCATTGTGGGTGTAATTCTTACTTGATAATTATTCTTAGACAAAAAGGGGAAGTGTTGTGGGATATTTGTATACTGTGTGAAGACATATTCCTGTTATTGGTGTAATAAAAAGCTGAAAAGCCAATAGTTAGGCAGGAGGTGTAGGTGGGATTTCCAGGGAGAGGAAGAAAGGGGAGGAGAATCTAGGTGTGCAGGGAAAGCCAGGAAACATGGAGAGAAAACAGGAGGTGCAAGATGGAAAGGAGGTAAGACCACATGGCAGGACGTAGATTAATAGAAATGGGTTAATTTAAGTTATAAGAACTAGTTAGGAACAAGCCTAAGCTGTAGGCTGAACTTTCATAATAAGAAGTCTTAGTGTCATTATTTGAGAGCTGGCTGGCAGGACAGAGAAAGACTCATTACACCAGCGGACTATGAATTTACCCCATTTATGCAAACTGGGCTCCTATAAAAATCTACAGAGATCTTCCCAAGACAAAAGACTCTAAACCTGGAGAAGTGAAAGCTCGAGGGATGAGTGAGGAGTTGGAAGGGAAGAGGACTTTGGAGCAAAGAACATAGCACTCTGAAATTCTCAGAGGAAGTAAGACCCTGAATACGATATCACAAGGCCTGGTTCACCTCTGCTGCATATCTCCCTCCCCACAAGGAACACAACCATGGAGGTGTTGTGACTGGCCAGCTCCAATGTGCCAGTCTCTTCTCATTGTCCAAAACCTTTGCTACTGTCCCCCTCCCCGAACAAGCTCAGTTCTCCTACAAAAACACTCAGAAGGCAGTACCCCTCAAACATCCTGGCCATTGCCTTCTGCTGTTTGCAAGAGCTATCGCATTTAATCGTAACAGCTCTTCAGAGGAGCAGATGGTGTTTCTATTTTAGAGAAGGGGAAATAGGCTCAGCAAGAATGTGTGCCTTGTTCAAGGTCACACTAAATCTTAATGTATATCCTTGTCAATCCTGTCTTCTCTGGTCATATCTCACTGAACTTTGTCTTCTTCGAGCTAAAGGAAGCCTCACCTCAATTCCTCTGATTGCCAGGCTCCCACTAATAGGCTACCATATGTGATCATGCCTCCTGGGAAGGGCAGAGGCTAATTTAGAAACTACAGTGAATGAGGAGAGGGTTGGCCCTAAAGGCTCCAATAGATGTCAGATGCTTGGTAAAGTGAAGTGGGGGTGCAGTAGCTCATTTCAGGAAGGAGATGATAGCCTTTTCTAGCACGGGAGGGGCAGGGAGTCCCTAGGAAGAGGCCTAGAGGGAGGCATCTGAGAGCTAGTTCTGATAAGGCACTTGGAGAACACTTGGTGTGGCTACAAGATGCTTTGGTGGTACAAGTGAAGAAACTGAATCCCAAAGGGGGCCAAGGGCTTTCCCAGAACACCAGAGGGTGTCATGGGGGGAGTAAGGACATGAGTCCAGCTGTCCTGAACACACGGTGCAGTGGTTTGGATCTGCCAGGTTGTGCAATGGAAGAGAGCACATACCTTCCTAGGTCCTTGCTGGCTCCCACCAACCTGAAGAGATGGGCTCTGTCTGAACCTTCTGGAGCCACTTACCACATTGAAGACACGGGGAGAGAACAGTGGCTTACCTGGATAAGTGTACAGTGAATGCTGGAAGGCTGTAGAATGCCACCAGAGAGGGTGAGACTAACCCAAGATCACACAGGAAATGCACAGTGAAGCAGGAACTTGTCTGCACAGTCTGGGTCCTCTCAGCCCCAGAAGGGCCTCCTGGAAGAATACGGTCTTTCCAGCCCAGACCGAGAGTGGCAGGAAGGCAAGCAGCCTTTAAGAAATCTGAACCATCCCTGTGCTGCCCCCACCCCAACTCTTCCTATCTTCTGCCCTGAAGACATCCAAGACTCTGCAGACGAGCCTGGAACTTCTAAAATTCCTTCAGAATGGGTCACCTACATTTCCCACAGAGTGAGAGTCTGTGCTTTTCGTTCTTCATTAAAGCCTGCCTTTCCTATAAAACCTAGCTCAGAGGCACAGAAAATGGCCATGTACAAAACCACAGAGGAAGTCGTATCAAATTCCAAAGAATCTCATAGACCAAGATCTCAGACCACAAGGCTATGTAATAAGAAGTGAACAAGAAAAATATAAGTCTTCCTAGGTTAAGAAACTAAAAAAAAAAAAAAAAAAACCACTTCTAAATCATCCAAGAGTTGAGAGGAAATTATAAATGACATTTGTAAAATATTTAGAACAGAATGACAAGAAAAGCACAAGCAGTCTCTAAGTCATTTCCTTTGTGAAGTCATCCCTGACCCAACACTGTTCCTCCAGATAACTTTCTACCCTCCTCCCAGCTCCGAGGCCAGGGGTCTGACCTCTGGACTGTGGCAACAGGTTCCCTTGTCCTTGGCTTTTAATGGGACTCAGCTATGGGGAACTTGGCTACAGATGAGAGGAAAATCAGAGGGAAATGAGGCCCTTATTGGCCGGTAAATTTCCCTTGATTGCTGTGAGCTGGGTATGCTGATGGCTATATGCAGCCTGCTACCTCATTGGTGATACAGTCTCTACATGGCTTCCCTACCCCTAACTACACCTGTATGCAGCACCACTATCAAACACTCAGGAGGCTCTGTGTTTTCCTTGTAGACATCCCCACTCTTGCCTAGTGTTTAACCATCAATGCATTATGTTGCCCCACTTCCATTTCTGAATGCCTAGGCTCTGATCTGTATATGTTGTGTCCTGACTGCTGACCTATTGGCACCTGAGATCAGAGACTGATTCACCACCTTGATTTCAGCACCCAACAACGTGCATTGACTACTATATCTAATTAAAAGGAGCAAATGTGAAACCCATCAATGCAGTGTTTATTTATAGGAGATTTGGGGCAGATAAAGACTTGGGCACAAGACAGTAGAGAATTTATGCTGGCACAGAAATAAGCCCAAGAATGGATGCTTAGTTCTGACCTAAATTCCTAAGGATTTAAGTGTGTTCTCCTGCAATCGAGAAAGCGGGCCCAGGCCCCAGACACAGGGAATCCCAATGGAGCATTTGTGCCATAGTATAAAACCACCTGTGGCTGTAGTGGTTCCCCAGTCACACCAGTACACCATTCTCTTCCTCCAGGGTGACTTCGGCAGCTCAGTTGTCTGCCTTGACCTTCAATATTTGTGGTTTTTCGTGCTTTGGCTCACACTCTGAGAGTGCAGACCACCATGGTAGGGAAAGTATGGCAGGAAGAGCGGCTCTAGGCTGTGGTAGAAGGAGCATGAGGCAGCTGGCCATACTACTCCCAGACAAGCGTCTCCTTAGCAGTTCTGAAGCCAGTGAAGCTGACGATGAAAATTAGCCATGATGCTTGTCTAGTCTAGAAAGTCTTCAACTCCCCCTTCCCAGACAGAGCCTGCAGTCTGCTTTCTGGGGTCAAGCGTGGTATGCATTGAACCCTGATGTGCGTTATCAGCTTGCTTTTGGGAGAGAAATGTAGGTAGAAAAGTGGACAATGCAGATCAAGTATGGAAAGGTTTGAAATCATTTGGAAAGGGCTGTGAGAGAAGCCATTCTGGAGTTCCCAGATATCTGCCTGCCTGGAATTAAGACATACTCCCTCCACCACCACCAGCCTCTAGTCTTGGGTCTTGAGAGCTGTGTGTGGCAGTGGGCTGAAGCTGAACATAGGCTGCTAGAAACTCTATTGAGCTCAGAGACAAGTGAAGCACAGACCACTGCAGAAGGACTAGGGAACCATTCTAACCACATTTCTTTTCTTTCTGCTTCAGGGAGAAGCTGGACTTGTTCCCATTCTACAGCCTAGGGATCTGGGGAAGATCCAGACGATCCCCTGGGGCAGTAAGTCCTTGGCCCTAGGGGAGGCTGCGAGCTGCACCGGACTTCCCACTTCCCGGAAAGGCTGGAGTGAAGTGTGTGTGTCCTGGGACGGGGGAGTCCCTTTCCCCGCCCCTCCCCGCCCCGTGGCCACGGCGTGTCTGAGCCCGGGGCGGAGCTGGCGTCTGCTCGCGGACGCGCGGCGGGACGGCGGCCGCAGCCCGGGGCAGGCAGGCGGACAGGCACGGAGACCGGCCCGGCGGGATCACCCGCAGGAGGACGACCCAGCGCGCGGCGGTGTGGCCGCACGGACAGAGACCGGGAGCTGTCCACCTAGGCGGAGCGCGTGAGTGAGAGCCGCGTCTCAGCGCCCCTCGCGGCCCGGTCTTGCTTCCACTTTCAGTTCTTTTAGGTCTTCTCGCCTGGCATCGGGAAGCGACCCGAGCCCGAAAGCAGGCTGGCCACGGTCCTCAGCCCCGGGTCCGAGGCTCAGCGCCCGAAAGCCGGGGTGGGGGTGGCGAGGGCTGGTGAGGGGCGTGTCTTCAGGAGCGGAAATGTCAGGCTGGCTCCTCTGGGTCCTAGGACCTGTTTGGCACTAACAGCTGGAGAGAAGGGGAGGTTCTTAGGGGCTGGAAGGAGGTAGGGCCGGCTCTGGCTGTGTCAGTCAACCTTTGCTCCTCATCTGGGAAGATTAGATACTCAGTCACTGAGTGAGCAAACCACTGGCCACCCACCCAGTAATTAAAGTAGAGGGTCCACTGGGAGAGGGCACAGTGGCTCTGTAAGAAATTACCTCAGTGATGGCATGAGGCTGGGCAGAGAACAGCAGTAACAGACATAGCTAGGAGGGGACCTGCCCTCTTAGCTCAACTTCCAAGTTTTCTCCTTCAAGGAAAAGTCCTGCGCCTTAAAATTCTACAGCCAGGAGGTGGGGCCTCTCTACTCCCTTCCTCTCCTCTTATCTGCACCAGGCCAGTGGCCAGGCAGAGCAGGAAAGGGGTCCTTTGTACCTTATGACAGGCTAAGTCCCTCTTTCTCCCAATCCCCTACTTCTTATAACTTTCTATGCAAAGTCAGGCTCCTCAAATCCTGATTCTGGGCTTCAGTTTCCCTTGAAGGTTGGGCCACTTGATTTCTCAGAGCTCCAGCTTGAAGACTTGTGTTCATATATGTGTATGTGTCTGGTATTGTGGGTAAGTGAAGGTGGGCATGCAGGTATGGAGGCTGACATCAGTTGTCTTTCTCGGTCACTCTCCATTTATTGAAGCAAGGTCCATGTTTAAAAAAGTAATTACATTTGTGTTTAAGCACACATTAATATGCAGTACATATACACACTCATGTATGTACCACAATGTACATGCAGTAGTTAGTTTGTGGGAGTTCTGTCCTTCTACCATGAGGGTCCCCCAGGCAAGCAATTTTACCCATTGAGACATCTCACCAGCCCAAGGCAAGGTCTTTCTGAACCTGGGGCTTCTGGGGGTCCCCTGCCTCTACCTCCTAAGTTCTAGGGTTAAGGAAGGCTGCCAGGTCTTGTCAGGGTTTCCAGGGCTTCTGGAGATCAAAACTGGCCCTCAAGCTTGCACTACAAGCTCTTTACCCACTGAACCATCTCCCCAGCCAACTCTAAGTCTTCCTAGTCTAAGCTCTTCCGAAAGCCTGGCCACCAATGCTATGCCAGTCTGACTTTATCTAGAGAGGACTAGGGACAGAAATGGTCAAAGAGGGGTCACCATACAAGGTTGAGATCTGGAGGAGGCTGCTGAAGGAGGTAGCATTCGGAAAGGTGGAATGAGAAATCGGGAATTGAACAGCAAAAGGCACACAGGCAGGAGAGTGAGGGCATGCTCAGGGATCAAGGAGAATCCCAGGGTGGCTCCTGGTGGGAGGTGGGGTGGGGAAGTTGGGGTGTGCAGTTGGAAGGCAGAGTCTGTAACAGGCAGTAATGGGTGGGCATGCCAAGGAGGGGGACCCAGAAACCCCACTGATTGCATCAGTGATTTTGGAAACCCTGCCCCAGGCAGAGCTCACAAGGGAGACAGCAACTGAAGTGTACAGAGCTCTTCATTCAGGAAGTTCAGGCCCCAGCCTGGCACTTCTTTGGGAAGAAGCTGGGGGTGGGCAGAATAAATGAGAGGACCTTCCACACCTTCAAGCTTCTCTCAAAAGGTCAGGAACTCTCTCTACCTTCCAAACTACTCTCATTTTTCCTGATTGATCCATTCTGCCTGCCTTCTGTGATGAGAAGGAAAAACTGTTCCAAACATTTCTGTAAGTTTGATTTGTTGCCAGAAGAATATCCCTCTGTGCTCTATGCCTTTGGTTACACTAACCACCTAATCCCCACCCTCTCTTCCCCAGTTATCAAAGATGTGAGAAAGGAAACTGCATCAAAGTCAAGGCAGTCTGAGGTGAAGAATAAGTTTTGTCTGCCGCTGTCTCAGGCCTCATTCAGTGTGGAGCTAGGCTCAGGGCTTAGACTAACCAAGGTTGAGAACAAGTCAGAGTCAGAATAGAGCCCAAGCTCAGTGCTTAGGTTATGCAGCCTAGTGGTCAGGGTCTGTGATCGGTTTGTTCCAATCTTGGCCATTGCCTAGATCTGTGTTCCCCAATAGTCATGTACTGGGGGAGATGAAATGCCTGAGATGCTCAGAAACCTAACTATATCAGAGTGTTCGAGGATTTACAAGGACTAAATCCGTGGTGATGTAAGCAAGCTATTTTGAATCAGGGGCTGGACCCCAGGACTTTGGGGGCTCTGATTGATGCCCCCTGAAGTCTGGTCTGAGTCTGGGAGCCTTCCGTTCTAAGAGGCAAAGCAAACACCCAGAAGGACCAGCAGGATGGGTCTGGCTACTCTCCCCCTGGCCAGGGGTCCCAGGTACATAGTAGGCATGCTGGAAATCATATGGAGTGTCAGGTGCAAAGGGTGGCTTATTCAGGTTTGGGACTGAAGAAGGTTGGCTTAGAGGGTAGGAGCAATATCATTTGTCAGAGGAAGTAGCACTCTTCTAGACCTGCCACCCTCCCCTTCCTGTAACGCCTGCAGCCAACTTAAGGCCACCCAGATGGCCATGTGAGGGCCCTTTCCTCTTTTGGTGTAAAGAGAAAGGAAAGGACATTTTTGGTAGAAAAGTCCCTTCTGCACCGGGAATCCCCGGTGGCCGGATGGACTTCGGGATATCCCAGAGGAAATTGAAGTTCAGGGCCTACCCTTGTACCCCTTGCACAGTGCAGCCAGACTCTCTCTCACTACACAGCTGACCTGTGGGGCTTCCAGAGAATATCTTACCTGGGGTCCCTGTTCCCTCTGTCTCTTCTGCAATGGTCCAAAGAAAGCAGGGAGGAAACTAAGCACAAGGGAAGGTGTGTGGGGCTGCTAAGGAGCCAGGGAGAAGTGCTAAAGTAGTCCACACAAGATTAGATACAGTTAGGGGATGAGTGTCTCAACGGGGTAGAGAAATTGCCTCAAGGCTGGCAGCTAACAGGAAAATGATGTATTGGGAAGTCAAAGGCCATTTTCTAGGTCCCTGAGCACCAACTTCCCCTGCCCTTGTCCCTGGCAGGGTATCTTCAGGTCCCTGGACCTAGACACCGAGCTCTACTAGGCCTGGCCATGGCACTGTGCCTGAAGCAGGTGTTTGCTAAGGACAAGACTTTCCGGCCACGGAAGCGCTTTGAGCCTGGCACACAGCGCTTTGAGCTATACAAGAAGGCACAAGCCTCCCTCAAGTCTGGCCTGGACCTTCGAAGTGTAGTAAGGCTGCCACCTGGGGAGAGCATCGATGACTGGATCGCTGTGCATGTGGTGGACTTCTTTAACCGCATCAACCTCATCTATGGCACCATGGCTGAGCACTGCAGTGAGGCCAGCTGCCCAGTCATGGCTGGTGGGCCTCGCTATGAGTACCGCTGGCAGGATGAGCGCCAGTACAGAAGGCCTGCCAAGCTCTCGGCACCCCGCTATATGGCATTGCTCATGGACTGGATCGAAGGTCTCATCAATGATGAGGATGTCTTTCCTACACGTGTTGGTGAGCATTGGCTGGCCGGAGAGTTAGCCTAGCTGGGGGTGGGGGTTTTTTCCCACACAGCAAAGAGGAAACTGGTGGAGGCAGGGTCTTGGTTACAATCAAACATTTACCAAGGACAAGCTGACTCCCATTTGGGGCTCCTCATGTCATTCTCATAGAGGCAGGACTCAAACCCTCTCTACAAAGCAGTACCTCTCGGAGATAAATGATACAGATCCTGCCTGGCCAGGAAAGGTGAGGAGAACCATGGGAAAGGCAGTGTGTGCACAGACCCCACTAGGGACTCTCCCAACAAAACCACAAACACTGTTTCTTCACTTTCCAGAACAGGTAAAACAGTGTTGTTTTTGGGCTGATCTGGCTTCCAGCCTCTTGAGAGTCCCCTCTGAATCCTGGCCCCAGAAAGGGAAGCTAGATCAGCACAAAAGGTACCTTTTCCTCAGGCTGGCACCCCATAATCAGGTCCAGGCCATGGGGCCTTTTCTAATCTCAGCTGGGCCTGGGCAGGGTGAGGAGGGGAGAGGAATGATGTCACCCTGGCCCAGGTTCCCCACCTGCAGCCTGGGTCCCAGCACCCATCTGGCTATAGGGATTCAAATGGGTGGGGCAGATGGCCAAGCCCAGAGGGAAGGGTGAGTGCTGAGGAAGGCTGGGCAGAGTCACAATTGAAGCCCATGGCTCCTCCCCAAATGTGGCCTCCACTTCCTGCACTATTGTATACAACAGGTCCCTTCATTTTACACAGAAGGAAACTGAGGCCAACAGCAGGAAAGCACACTGAATAGAAAAGGTTTCAGAACCGGAACTCAGGTGTTGTGGGCTCCAGGTGCCATAGTCTAGATGGGTTGGACAGGAGTTGTGGGGATCAGGCTGGGCTCTCAGAGGCAGAACACAAGCTCCAAAGAGCAGTGGGAAGGAAAGGGGTTGGTGGAGGCGTGTGGACTAGGGCTAAGTCTGTTCCAGGCTTTCATTCTCCTCTAGCCTACATCCCTGAGTTTGTGAGCCCTGGGTAAACTTTTAACTGGATGACTGGATGATTTTGTCATAGCAGAAAAGAGGGTGTAAGAGGATCTCTGCCCTGGATTGGGGTCTGTGCACACACTGCCTTTCCCATGGTTCTCCTGACCTTTTCTGGCCAGGCAGGATCTGTGTCATTTATCTTTGAGGGACTGCTGTGCAAAGAGGACTTGAGTCGTGCCTCCAGCCTATACTAATTAATAATTATGTGTCCTCGGGCAAGTGGCTTCACCTTTACACATCACCTGCATTTTATCATATCTAGAATGACTATCAGACCCATCAGCACAATTGTAAAGAGCAGAGCACAGAGGTACAAAGGGCCCAGCTCAGGGCTGGACTCACAGAGGGAAAGTTCTTTATGTTATTGAATATCTGAAGGAATGAGTGATATCAGAAATAGTTCTTGAGGTGTTAGCATGGGGTGGGGGGAGTATGAGCTAGCTATGAGGACAGTATGCAAAGGAATCGAGGGTGTAGCTGAAGAGGGCAATCAGGATTGGTTCATAAAGGCTTTGCTCCATGTCACGCTGAGATCTTAAGGCACACAACCTTCACATTGGACTGTATAGGAGAGAGAGAGATGTGCATGTCTCTGTGGGTGCACAGGTTTCTGGGGGGGGGTTAGGCCATAATTTGTATTGTGGTCTTCAACAGACTGGCCAGTGACAAGCTTGAAAAGCCCTTCTCCAAGCAGTGGGAAATGTGGAAGGTGATCTGTGTTACAGCACGGGGAAGGCACCTTCAGATTTGTGCTTCATTAAAAAGAAAAGATGGGGACTGGGGTTGGAGCTCAGGGATGTGAATGAATTCCTGGGTTCAATCCCAACACTACCTACCGCCCCAAAAAGAAAACATGGGAGAAAACCAAGGCCTTGCTCTGCCTTCCTCTGTGAGTCCTGCTGAGGAGAGGTGAAGAGTGCCTGTGGGGAGGGGCTGAGTGCTAACCCTAGGACTTTGACCCTTCTTCTATCCCTCTCCCCCCCCCAGGAGTTCCCTTCCCCAAGAACTTCCAGCAGGTCTGCACCAAGATCCTGACCCGACTCTTCCGAGTCTTTGTCCATGTGTACATCCACCACTTCGATAGCATCCTCAGCATGGGGGCGGAGGCACATGTCAACACCTGCTATAAGCACTTTTACTACTTCATCCAAGAGTTCAGCCTGGTGGACCAGAGGGAACTAGAGCCACTGGTAAGGCCAAGTCTCTCTTACTCATCACTGCCAAGGATCTTCCCTGAAAGTTCAAATCCAAAGGGTCCGTATGAAACTCCCATACCCAGGTGGATGAATGAGGGGAGACCACTCATTTAACAGTAAATTCTGAAGTCTCATAGAGAATTCATGGAGGTGTCAATTTACAAACCCAGATCTGTTCCCAAGGTTTTCAGCTCTAGTGGGGAAAGAGTCAGGCTCAATAAACCCCCTGATTTGGTAAGGTGTTGCCCAGCAGGCTAAGCTCAAACTAACCCTTCTTTACTTTGTGTTTCTACAGAGGGAGATGACAGAACGGATCTGTCACTGAGTCCAGATCTGGATGCTGTTGCCTATCAACTGGACCATCAAACACTATGCAGCTTGGAGAGGGGACCCCTAGGAGCCTGGTGGTAAAGAAAGCTGAAGGCCTATAGGACCCCTCCATATACCCAATCCTCTGGGCTTCTCAGAAATCTGCCTGTGTGTCCCTGATTGCATGGAGAAGGGAGGGCTTCAGGTGGGCAACAGGAAGAAAGGAGGAGTTTAGCCCCTCACATTAAGTCCAAGAGTAGGGTAAGCTACCAGGTTTCTGCTCTGATACATACCCTTTCACCCTGCCATGGTGGGTCCAAATCCATCTGGGGAATGTGGATGTGGCTGAAGTGATGGCAAGAAAATTATAAGAGAATGGGTGTCTGTATCTGAGCAAGCAGGTAGGTGTGTGTATGTGTGTGTGGAGAGGTGGGCGGGGGCTTTATTGTGGGATTTATCTAAGAGATCCAGGTCCTTCTTGGCACATAGTAGGTCCTCATGTTGGGTGGATGGATGGACAGACGGATGCATGCATGCATGGATGGATGGACAGACTGACTCCTATAGGAATAATGACAGCTTAGCGCCCCATCTCAACTCTGACCATAGGTACTAGTGTACAGAATGTGCATGTAGATGGGGTTGTACCTCTGAATCTTCTAGACTACCGTTTTCTGTCAACATTAGTACCAGGCAGTTGAGTAGAGGTTAGAAAGTACAACTTTGCTCTGAGTTCCTTAAATCCCTGACCTACCACCATGTGGGCTGATTTACTCAGCCAAGGATGCCCATGAATTGTTATTTCACTCATCTCTCTGCTTCCAGGAGGGCCTGAAAACAGTAAGCCTCTAAGATAGGCAGTGGTGACATATCCTTTAATTCCAGCATTCATGAGGTAGAGACAGGAGGATCTCCAAGTTCAAGGCCGGCCTGGTCTACAGAGTGAGTTCTAGGACAGCCAGGGTTACACAGAGAAACCCTGTCTCAAAAAAAAAAAAAAAAAAAAAAAAAAAGTAAGCCTCTTGAGGATTGGGATTGATTCGTGTCCACAAAGGTCCCCTGGATCTTGAACTGGAACTCAAGACACTTCAGTTTCACACCCAGAACCTACTGACCTGACGGAATCGGAAGGACAACATCAAATAGCCCTCTAGACTAAGAGAGCCACTGGATCTTGAATTAGGGAATCTGGAGTCTTTTTTCCTATCTCAGCATCCTAAAAATACCTGCCTCCATCCATCCACCTGGAGACATCCCACCTACTTGGATCTCCAAGCACAGCTATCCAGAGAGGCTGGGATGCTCTTTTAGTAGCCATTACTCAATACCTCCACCCTGAGCCCTGTGCATACTCACAGAAACAGGTTTCTGCTCTCCCAGAGCCTTTATCCTGAGAGGCCAGGATGGAGAACAAAAAGTCACACAAGAATCCCGTCTGTTTCTCAGTGTGCAGAGGAGGAAACTGAAACCCGGAGGCTTCTCTTGACTTCTCCTCTGGACCCTGCTGATTGTGACACTGAGATGCATGTGGAAATGGGGCTTGTGGAACACTCTCCAGGACACAACTGTTCCTGCTTTGAGCAGTGATTTCTAGCCTGATGCCAAAGAGCCTTATCACCCCTGGGTTGGGTCGAGTTGGCTGCTGAGACAAACCTCCAAAACCAGGCCCATCTTTCTGGCCTAGGAACTGCCTGCCCTCCAGAGAAACAGCTGGAGAGCTCTAGACCAGCAGGACCTGGACCTTCAATCTCTGCTGGCTCCAGAAAAGTCAAGGGAAGCATGTTTTGGCAGTGGTTCAGAACTGAGGAAGGTGGGAAATTCCCCCACAGTGGGCTTGCAGAGTATACTCTGAAATCTAGGCTGTGAAAAGGGATGATGGGGGAGGGAAATATATTTTTGTGAAAGAGGGAAGAATTTTCTATTTTTGGTAAAATAAAAGACACAAACTAAAGCAATCACTGGTGGGAAGTTGTGGTCTGGGTGCCACCCAGGTCTTGGCAGATTGTAGGAGAGACCACCAGAATGGGATTCAAAAGACTTTCTGTCCTCAGCTCCTGACCATACAGGCATAGTTTCCAGTATAAGGACACCTAAGTTCTCTCAGGGCTCTGAATTCTAGACAAGCTAAGTTAGGAGCCTTGAGAGGATAGGAGGAGAGGGCAAGGCAAGCCCCTGTCTTTAAGGAACTCAGTCTGATGGGGGAATCTACTTGTTAAGGCACTTGGAACTGGCTATCCCCATTCAGACCTGGATGGTTTGGAGGAACCAATGGCTAAGAGTGCAGTGGAAAATTCAGCCATAATCCTAATCACAAGAGAAGAAGTCGAAACCTCTCTCAGGACTCAACGTAGGGGAGGTGTGGCAAGTTTTACTCTAGAGCTTATTTCCCAGGAGGCCACTAGATCTAGAACACACTGCCTCCACACCACAAACCACTTAGCCAAGGGTTAAAAGTAGCTTGGTTGTGAAGAATTAACAACGGCTCTCCTAGAGTTCCTCCTACACCTGCAAAGGAGCCAACAGGGACTCTCTGCCTAGGAGATGGAGGCCTAAATTCCAGCCCCAGCCAGCCCCCAAAATCTCATGGCAAATACCTTCCCTCTGTAAAACCACTTACCTATTTTATGGTCAGAAGTGTCGAGATAGCATCAGTGGACGAAGGCACTTGCTGCCCAACAATGCAGGCTTAATGACCTGAGTTCAATTCTCAGGACCCATGTAAAAGGGTGAGCAGAGACCACTCTGATATGCATACCCACACACATAAATCACACACACAGTAGTAATATTTTTTGTTGTCTTGAGACAAAGTCTCATTATGGAGTGCTGGCTAGCCTGGAACTCACTCAGTAGACTAGGCTGGCCTCAAACTCATAGGGATCCCCCTTTATCTCCTGTGCTTCAATTAGGGTATGTACCACCACATTGATATTAATAAATTAAAATAAAGAAGAGTGAAGGCCCAAATGATCTCTAATCTTCTGCAGTCTCAGCCCAAGGACATGCATGATAATGACTTAGCTAATACTATGTCCCTGGTTTGGCCTCTGGTGCTTGACTCAAGTCTCCCTTTAGCCAGCTCTCTGGCCTCCCAGCCCTCTCCCCCCACCCCCAGCATCTCTCTCTTCTTTTTACTTCTGTAGAATCTTTTTGCTGCTCCTTCTAATGCCTAAAGCACAGCATTCTAAGAGTGGTGTTTCCAAACCGATTACAAAGCACTATCTCTTCAATCATTTAACAGTCCAACTGTTAGCAAGTCTGTGTACATTATGAAAGTAAGAGTTAGATTTATCTCAAAATTGAGTTGTCTGGAAATATATGAGGAAACATACACACACACACACACACACACACACACACACACACACACACACACACTTGCCCTGAGAGACAGGGATGGTTAGAGGAGGAAGAACTCCAACCTCAGTAACAACAGAAAAGAGCCTTTCTCACCCAAACGGGCAAAACCTAGCAGAAGCCTACCTGAAGGGACAGGCTGGGCTTTGCTGTCCCATTGCTCAGGATCTGCATCAATCTTTGTGGCAGGGAACAAGGAATAAGCTATTCGCTCCACCCTGGGGTAGAACATCCCTCATTGAGTAAACAATGCTGCATAACCTGTGGCCTTCATAAACACCACAGCCCCTTTAATGTTCCCTGCTGCCATGGTATGGAGTTGTGGAATGTTGTAGCATAAGCCAAAAGAAGGCCTAGGTTCTATACGGTTTGCCTTCCTTCCTGGGATTCCCCCAGAGCCTTTATCCAGTGTTAATTAACGGTGATTACCATGTGTGTGGGAGAATAGTAACTTTGAGAAGCTGGAGCACAACCTATGCCTGAGTGACTCAGGACTACTTGGCAATTGAGAGTTGGGGAATAGGCTAAAAAGTTTGGTGGTTGGAAGACATTGGGATATACAGCCTTTGAGTAGGACTCAAATTCTGGAAGGGACAAAATACAAAAGCCTACGGGAAAGACTGTCTGTCCTTTCCTGTCTTTATCTAGATTGGGAATCTAGCAAAGTCTTGAATACTCCCACATCCTTCCATCATAGGGTTGAACACATAGACCAGAAAGATGAGAACAGATGTTTTGAGGTGACTGATGGGGAAGCCGAGATGCTCTTTAAACTCCTTGCTCACCAGATGCTCACAACAATACTGAATGGGATAGGGATGTTTACTTCCGTCACACAAAGAAAAACTACATCAGAGCCTGAACTGAAGCCAAACAGCACTCTTCCCCACCTGCAGCCTGTGGAAGTGAGGCAGGGAGGCTGGCTGAGGGATTAATCTAATTAGTGTGCATGTACACACACACACACACACACACACACACACACAGCTGGTTGAGGTATTAATCTAATTAGCGTGCACACAGCTGGTTGAGGTATTAAAGAATTAGTATACACACACACAGCTGGCTGAGGTATTAATCTAATTAGAATGCACACACACAGCTGGTTGAGGCATTAATCTAATTAGTATACACATACACAGTAGGATAAGGAAGTTTGTTTTTGCTGGTATAGTGACACATGCCTTTAATCCCAGCACTCAGGAGGCAGAGGCGGGTGAGTCTGTGAGTTCGAGGCCAGCAAGGTCTACACCAGTGAATTTTAAGACAGCCAAGTCTACATAGTGAGACCGTTTCGAAAACAACACGTGTTTAATTACTGGAAGTAATGCTTTACTCATACTCTCGTGAAGTTCTGTATACACAGACCTTTACAGAAATTTTATAGCTGTGCCTGGTGGTGTGCGCCTCTGTAATCACAGAACCCTTACTGAGTAGGGAGAAAAAAAACAAAAAACAAAAACGAGTTCGGGGCCAGCCCGGGGTATTATAGCAAGGCCCTGTGTCAAAATTAAACTTTAAATGGAAGAAATTTTAGCGGAGCTGCCTTCGGGTTTAGGAAAGCCTCGTCCCGGCTCGCAGAAGTAACTATTTACACCTTCGGGATCTTACTCTCTTTGCTAGGAAAGAAGACTCGTTAAATACCTACGGCCGCTTCCATAGGCCGCGCCTGCGCAGTGTATTCGGCTCGGTCTCTGGCCACGTGTGGCCCTCAGGGCGCAGGCGTGACTCCGCCCCCACCCGCCCCTTTCTGCCCGGGCCCTCCCCCCTGAGTCTAGCTCTGCCTCTTCCGCGTTCTCGGCAGAGACCTGCAGGTGGGGGTGCGCGCGGCCGCTCCTGCGGTGGCCAGCTAAGGTAAAAGTGAGACAGCGTGGAGTCCCTCCGGGCGGAACGGGACCGGGGTCTGGAGTGCGGCGGTGCGCCCGGGAGGGGCAGTCAGGGCCTTCTGAGCAGTTCGAGGTCACGACCCGATTCCTCTGCGGAGGGACAGCCGAAGGGGACATTCTTTTAGGACTGCCCTCTGAGCTGCTTCCCTGCGGAGACTGCTGTGTGTAAAATCCCTTTCGGGACTCTCAGCCTGTGCCTGAAGATGGACTTGGATTGTGACAGGTCGGGACCCGGTGGGTACCGACAGTCCGAGCTCAGCTTGTATAGGGTTTGAGCCTCAGACCAGACAAGGATCTGCTCAAGGCGCATACAGTCCACTGGCATAAGGACGTTATAAAATGTGTATACTTCGTTGTGGCAAACTGACTATTTCCAGTTATTTTGCAATGCAATGTTTAAAAGCTCCTGCCACATTTGTCCAGCAGAGAGATGTAGGACTGTGGGTAGGATGCAGGCTCTCTTCTATAGCTGTAGGACTGTGGGCGATAAGAAGCTAGGAATGAGCGTGGGATGCTTGACTTTTGGTTCATCCATGCTTTCCCATCTCCTAACTGCATATCCTAGGACAAGTCATTTTCTCTCTGAGTCTTTATTAAAATGGATATATAATATCACTGCGGGAGTTAAGTATGATTATATGTAAATTGCCTACATGCAATGGGTACTGATACATAACTTATGATTTCTAGGAATAGAGAGTATTTTGGTCTGGCATATTTCGGGAGGCCCTAGGGAAAAGCTGATGTAACCTGAGCCTTGGAACCTCTGTGGGATTTACACACAGAATTGACCTTGTGGTATGAGGAGGGAGCTAAACCCTGTTGACCACAGGCAATGTGCCAAGCACCAGCTGAGTAGTTGACATATAGTATCTCCCTTGATCCCCAGATGTCAAGCCAAAGAGCTTCAGCCCTCTGTCCAGATCTTTAACAGCCTTTTAAAGAGCTGGTGTGATATGAAGAATAGACACACAGGGTCAAGATTGTGTATAGTCGTGAGCTAGCTGGGAACTTTGGAGCCCCTTCCCCGAATCTGCTCCCACCTCAAAGTGTCTCTTTTTATAATCAAGAGTTAGTAGCTGGGCTTTGGCTTGTGTAGGGATTATCATTGCTCTAGTGCTTTAGCAGATTTTGTAGTCAGAGGCCCAGGCAATAGCCAGCCAGACCATGGGGAGAGAAGTTCTGAGAACAAGGGGGCAAATTGCAGCACCTGCCTAGCTAGGAAGACCATGTTCTCCTATTATGTGGCCTGTAGTAATTCAGTCCTATGGCACCTTGTGTAGCTTCTTTACAGGTGCTCACACCACATCTTATGACCTCCTTGGTGAAGCCTCTCATCCTCCCGCTGAATTAGACACTCCCTTTCCAGTCTCCTATAGCAGAGACTGAAGTCCCAATAGAGTTCTTAGCAGAACTCTTGGGGTGCATTACTCATATGTACCCTGACTACAGTTGGTGGCAAGGAGCCATGCCTGTGTCATATCACCTCCTCATGGCACAGAACTGGCACATAGTAGGTCTCTATTGCTTGTGGTTAAATGAGTCAGTGGCTTTTTTTTATATACTTGCTTTGGTCATTGTTTTACAAGCTGTCAGGTTTAGAAGGAGACTGTGTTTTCCTTCGTGGCTAAGGAGGGCCCTGGTTTAGATGGATGATGCTCTACTTACAGGCATCAAAGGCACAAGGGTGCAAGAATTCTTCATGAAC